TGAACATCACGTCAGCTGAGCTTGGTGTCCTGGTTGGCAAAGACCGGTCAAGCTTTTTTGTGAATGGGCTGACACTGGGGGCTAGAAATGTACTGTGGTCCCGGACTCACTGCTGCAGGATGGGGAATTGACTGTGGATCTTCAAACGAAGAGCATCGGTGGAGCCCCCACCTTCAATGTCACCGGCACCATGACTGCCAAGACGCTAGGCCTGCTGATGGGCAAAGAAGGTGTCCACGGCAGTTTCACCAACAATAAATGTTATGAAATGTCCTCCCTCCTTCAGCGTTCCCAGTACTGACCTCCTTTGTTCCTTCCCCTCCACTGCTCCCCACAGTTTGCCCCCCTTTCCTTCTCATACACACATATACCATTTTAATTTCGGGAGCCCTTACCCCACACCCCTCATTGCTGCCAAAACCACATGGGCTGGGGGCCAGGGATAGATGGACAGACACCTTCCCCTACTCATACTCCTCCTGTGTGTGGTTGGAAAACTTTTTTGTTTTGAGGGATGTTTTTATGAATAAAAAAGATTCTACTAATTAAATAACTTCATATGTGGGCGTATTGTTTGAATCTGTATTCTTTTACTTTGATATACTTATGAATACTTACACCAGTACTACCGTTTTAAAATTACTGTAGCTTTAATATCAGGTTTGAAATCTAGCAGAGTAAGTCCTTCAACTTACTGCTTCTTCAAGACCAACTTGCCTATTCTAGGTTCCTTGATTTTCAAATACATTTTGAAATTAGCTTTTAAATTTCCTTAAAATCTCCTACTAGAAATAGCAATCAGAATTGTGTTGATGTAATACGCTAACAACATGGAATCTTCCAATCAATGAAAATGACATATATTTCTCTATTTAGCCTTCTTTCATTTTTCTCACCAATTGCTTTTAGGGGCCTTGTACCTGCTTCACTGCATATATTCTTAAGCATGTAATGATTCCGGCTATTAATCTCTATTATGTTTTATTGCATTTCATTTTCTAGCTGCTAATTGCTAGTATGGAGAAATTAAGATGATGAAATCAATGTTATTAAGTTATAATTTAGGTACAACAGATTGCATCACTTTAAAATGTGTAATTCAATGCATGTTTACAAATGCATACACTAATGGAACTACTGCCACAACCAAGATAGAGGAATTTCCCTACACACCAAAGTTTCTTGGACCCCTTTGCAGTTCATCAGTCTTTCAACCCTCGGCCCCAAGGAGCCGCTGCCACTTCAGGTCCATTTCCTTTTTAACCATTTTCTATAAATGAAATTATACCTGTGTTCTTTTGTGTCTGCCTTCTTTCATGCATCAACGTAATTTTAAAATCCATCCATATGAGTATTTGCATCAAGAGTTCATGCCTTGTAATTGATAAGTAGTATTCCTTTGTGTGGCTATACCATATTTGTTTATCCTTTCAAAACCTGTTATTGGACATTTCTATCCTCCACGTTTGGGCTAGTATGAAGAAACTACCATGAGCATCCACACATGGCAGGCCAGGTCTCACTACCACAGGCCTCCTGACAACTGTTTCATACCAACTGAGTGGTCCAATCAAATATTAAGAGGAAACAAACAAACAAACAAAAAGCCAGTGCCCTCATACAAAGGCTGGAATGTAACAAAAGCCCACCAAGAGTTTTGCCTAGGATTTTCCTGAGCCTTAAAGCATGACAAAATTACAAAGGCACTTTTAAAGGAGTCATTTAGCATTAAACAAGTTTTATTGCGGGTCTGAAGAAACTCCCCAGGCCTCCACGAACAAGTTTATTGGAGGTCTGAAGGAACTCTCCAAACCTCTGTGATTTAGCAGAAGACAAGATAAGGGTCCCCAGCACCTAGACCCATTTAGATTAAGTGAATTGACTGAGGCTCCAGAGGAAGGTCTTCAGGACTCAGAACTTAGTTCTAGATTAAAAGAAGTTAATCACTTATGTATTTAGATGAATGCAACTTCCATATACACATATAGCTTAGAAGGCACATAAGCTCAGGAGAGCTTTGTAATTCTGAGTTGGTGTGGTGATAATTTCCAGGCCTTTTCCCTGTAACCAGTTGCAGAAGTAAAAACTCTCTTCCTCCCCAGTTCATCTGCATCTCCTTGCTGGGCCACCAGACATAGCAGCCCGCCCCTCAGTTTAGTCTGGAAACACACACAGATCGTTGTGCAGACAATAGTATGTAAATTCCTAGGAATCGAAGGACTGTCCATCTGATTTGTGTATGTTTAACCTCTAAGAAACTGTTAGACTTTCAAAGGAGTCATACCCTTTTTCACTCCTACAAGTATAACACTTGTAAGTGCTTTATATCCTCACCAACATGTGCTACTTTCAGCCTGTTAAATTTTAGCCATTCTCATGGATATGTACTGGTATCTCATTGTTGTATTGATTGATCTCCCTGATGACTAAACAGTAGAGCATCTTTTCCTATGCTAATTGACCATTCATGTATCTTCTTTTCTGAAGTATCTATTCAAGTCTTTAGAGAAACTGTTTCATTATGCTTTAATCAGAGTGCTATATACATATACATACACATACACACACACACACACACACACATATACACACACTCTAAAAAAACCCTTTGTTGGAGATAAATATGATATCTCCTATATTGTAGTTTCCTTTTATGTTCTCTTAATGTTCCCTATTTGGACATAATGATACATAATCTTCAAAAAGGTGTGTGTGTGTGTGTGTGTGTGTCTATACACACACACGTTTGTATACATACATATGTCCTAAGAATCATTAATTAGACATATATGTGAGTATCTATTTCTGGATACTCTCTTTCCTTCCACTGATATATATATATTTTTTTCCAACAAAACATATGATTTTCATAGCTGCAGAGTAATTCTGGAAATAGGTAGTGAATTCATTCACCATTATTCTCTTATAATATTGCTCCTTTATTATTCTTGATCACTGACATTACCATATAAATAGTAGAATCAACTTGTAATTTTCTACCACAATGTTGCTTGCAATTTTTATTAGAATTGCATTGGATCTGGAAATCAACTGATGAAAAGCTGACTTTTTAAACATAACTCTTCTGATCCATGACAAGGTTTATCTCCCCACTAATTTAGTTCTTTCATAATTTCTTAAAGCAATTTTTTGTAATTTTTGGTGTACTTGCCGTACATAAATTTTGTTGATTTTCTTTCTTCTCTCCCTCCCTCCTTACCTCCCTCTTTCTTTCTTTTTTTTTTTAACAAGCAAACTTACATGTTATAAATTGTATCATCTTAAAAAGGAAACAAGGCGACACTTTGCAATAAAACCATAAGATGCTTTAAATTTAAGCTTAATGCAATGGAGAATGCCCATAAAATTCCTGTCTAAAGAATGTTTAGAAAATTGCTGAACAGGGACATCATCATTTGAAGTGACATGAAGAAACCTTCTCAGCTAAGCATATGGGCTAGGTTAGAGAGAAAGATAGAGGACCCATCTCTGCCCTGGAAAAACCACTGGTAACATCTTTCAAAAAGCTCTCTGTGTTTGAGTACGCACCTTGATCCACAGGCTCACACTGGATCCCAACTGGCCGCTGCTTCTTGGCATTAACATTGGATTCCCTACCAGTAAATCTTACCAAGATCTGACTTTCTGCAGATATGATATTATTTTGTTTGGCCATCCTTATCTTCAGGGGTATCCAAGAAGGAACAAGGAATTTATTTACCTCCCCAAGGGTAAAGGTCTCATTTACCAATGAGACGCTTTCTTACTATGACACCAGGGCGCCCTATGCCCTGTTCACTTCAGTGCCCTTTGTGCCCTGACAGAAGCTCATGCTGGTCCCAGGATTCCTTATACGATTCACCTCCTTCCTGAATCCCAACTTCATGCTGGTGGTCATGACAGGTGTCCTGTATCCCATGCTCATGTCCCTGAAGTCATCAGCCTGTCTCCAGTTAGAAAAAATTACATGTCTATAGACAGGCCTCTTTGCAAGTAGCAAAAGCTTTCTCACCTTCATACATTAAGGCTTGGAATGTACAATAGTATAAACACTTTGGGGAAAAATGTCTGGCATCTTCTTACAAAACTAAACAACTACCTACTCTATGACTCAGTAATTCCTAAGCATTTATCCAAGAGAAAATAAAACATATGTCCAGAAAATGATTTATATAAGAATGTTCATAGCACTTTAATTCATAATAGGAAAAACTGGAAACATTCAAGCATCTGTCAATACAACAATGGATCAATAAACTGATACATTCATTCCATGGAAAGCCTAAAGGAACAAACTGCTGACACACAAAACAACACGGATGAATCTCAAAAACATTTTCAGTGCAATAGGAGCCATACACAAAAGAGTGTGAGAAAAGACATGAATAATCATGGTCTCAAGAAATGCAGAGCAGAGAGCCCAGAGGCAAAGACTCACAGGACAGCCGGTCGGTCCCAGGCTGTGGATCCTAGTTTAAAAACTCCTGCTGGATTTTGCCCAGCTCCATTTCCAAACAATTGTGGGTCAGTGACTTCTTTATCCCTTCCTTGTTCCCTCATTTTGAACTATAATCACTGTAGTTGTTATTCCGTGTCTGTCCCGTCATTTCACATTAGGGGCAGATAAGCTGTTCATTCAGTTTCACAGGTCGACGGAGGAAAGGGAATTATGTCAAAGATCTGTACTTAACGGACACCCTCAGAAGCCTCATCCACATCTGGTGTGGATGTTTTAAATGGGATTTTAAAAAAACACAGCCAGCCCATTCCTGGATTTTAGCCTCACATGACTCTGATCAGAGAACCCGGCCACTTCATTCCAGACTTCTGTGGTTTCAAACCACTGATTTGTGGTAATGTGATCATTGGCAGCAAGAGAAAACTAGTACAGGTGTCTGTCTCTCCTCTTGAATTTCAATTTCAGATACATGGATGCTAACCCCTCTAACAGAAAAAAAATCAACCAACCAATCAATCAATGAAAAAAAAATTGTCCTCACCTTTATGTGGCTGTTCCAGAGCCCTTGCCACCTGAAGAAGACAATGAGGGATATTTCAGGCACGTGGGGAGTGCGGCTTTACTGTTATCAATCACATTTCTGAAAGAATAAAAATGGCTGAGGTCAAGCCGTGGCTCATGTCTGTAATCGTAGCATATTGGGAGGCCAAGGCAGGTGGATCACTTGAAGTCAAGAGTTAGAGACCAACCTGGCCAACATGGAGAAAGCTCGTCTCTACTAAAAACACAAAAATTAGCCAGGCATGGTGGCGGGCGCCTATTATCCCAGCTACTCAGGAGGCTGAGGCAGGAGAATCACTTGAACCTAGGAGGTGGAGGTTGCAGTGAGCTGAGATCACGCCATTGCATTCCAGCCCAAGGAATAGAGCAAAAACTCCATCTCAAAAATAAATTAATTAATTAATAAAGATGGTTCATTACTTAACTCCACATATTATTATGTGAAAATGTATCATCTCGATTTTAATAGCAGATTTTTTAAAATTGCTTTTCTTTTGCTCACCAGACAAGGACTGGTAGCAAATACCGCTCACCAACACAGATTAACCAATTCAAGGAGAGCCATAAACAGGACTACTGTTATGTTTCCCAAAAAAACCATCCCTAGAACGCAATCTGTTCTCTACTTGTCACAAAATGAACACAATAGTCCACTATATAAAGTCCCAAACACATGAAAATGTAAATACCATGAAGTCTGCTTTCCAAATATTCATTCTATTCAGACCCAGTCATGGGGACCAGGGATTAGGAAATGACTACAAAGAGGTTCAAGGGAATTTGGGGAAGCGACAAAATGTGCTGAAGTAGAAACTCTGCCGATGGCTGCACAATTCCATAAATCAGCTGAAATCATTGAGTCGTATGTTGAGAACGGGTGACTTTTATAACAAGTCATTCTTTAAACGAACTTTTGGGTTTCTAGTCCAACATGGAAAGAGCTAGGCAGTCATCACTCGTCCTCACAGCTAGCAAAAGGCTGAAGGAACTGAAAGTCAACCCTTCTAGGGTGGACCAGAGAATTGAAGTCACAGGGAAAACTGCCACCCTAAAAATGAGACAGACAGGCAAACACACAAGGAGTCAGAGCTCACAGGAAGAGAAGTTACTGGGGACAGCAAGTGGGAGAAGAACTTAAATGGTATTGACAGATCACTAGAAGCTGAGGGTGGCCTGGTTAGCGCATTAAAAACTCCTTGAGATTTCAGACTAAGGGGGAATCTGACATATTTCTAAGTTTACTACAATGATCTCAACCAGGTTCTCAAGATGAAGTTCTGAAAACCCCCCTGAGGTTTGGCACTACCAACTTCAGGACTTACATTAAGCTACAGTAACCTAAATAGTGTGAAGCTGGTGAAAAGAGAAAACACACACACAAATAGATCCATGGAAAAGAATACAGAGCCCAGAAACAGGCCTACCTACAGTCCATTGATCTTCCATGAAGGTTTAGAGACAACTTAAAGCAGGGAAGTTACCCTTTCCAACTAGTGGTGCTACAACAGCTGGATAACCACATGCAAAAAATATATAAATAAATCCCGGTATGCGTGTTATACCCTTTATAAAATAAATCTCACATGTAAATGTAAGGTGCAAAACCATAAGAATCCTAGGAGATAACATCGGAGAAAGTCTTGGGGATCTTGGGTTCGATGATGGCTTCTTAGATACAAAACCAAAAAGCACAATCTACTAATGAAAAAAAATTAAGTGGAGCCTCGTTCAAATTAAAAACTTCTGCTCTGTGAAAGACACTGTTAAGAGAATGGAAAAAGCAAGTCACAGACTGGCAGAAAATATTTACAAAATAATCTGATGGAAAAACTGCTGTCCAAAATATATGAAGAATTCTGAGAACTAAACAACACAAAGCCAAAAAAAAAAAAAAGAAAAAAAAATAGGTGAAATATCTGTACACCACATTAATAAGATATACAGATGGCAAATAAGTATATGAAAAAGATGCTCAAAATCATTTGGCGTTAGGGAATTGCACACTGAAACAACAATGAGATATCAGTGGAAACCTATTAGAATGGCTAAAATGCAAAAAGGTGAACACACCAAATGCTCTCAAAGATGAGGAGCAACCAGAACTCTCCATAGCTAGTAGAAATCAAAAGGGTACAGTCACTCTGGAAAACTTAAGTTCACTCAGAATCCTGCACATAAGTAGTTACAGCAATTTTATTCATAATTGCCAAAAGTTGGAAGTACGCAAGACGTCTTTCACCAAGTGAATGGATAAGCAAACTGTGTTGTAGCCCCACAACGAAATCTGATTCAGTGATTCTAAAAAGCAAGCTATCAAGTCATAAAAAGACATGCAGGAACTTAAAATACATAATGCTAGAAAGAAGTTAGTCTGGAAACCTACATACTGTACGAGCCCAATTCTAGGACATTCTTGGAAAGTCAAAAAGAGAGAAGTAGTAAAATGATGAGTGGTTGTCAGGACTGGAAGAGAGGAGGACGCACGAAATGGTGAAGCACAGGGAATTTTCAGCAGTGAAACTATTTTGCATGACGCTGTATTGGGGATTTAGGACACTATGTAATTGCCAAAACCCATAATCTGTGAAACTCAAAGAATGAACTCTTGTGTAAACTATAGCCTTTAGTTGATAATGATGTATCAATAGTGGTTCATCAATTGGAAAGAATGGACCACACTAATACAACATACTTATAGGGGAAATTGTGTGCTGGAGGACAGGGGTGCCTAGGAGAATTCTCTGTACTATCCACTCCATTTTTCTGTGAACCTATAACTATTCTAAAAAATGATGTCTATTGGCCAGGCGCGGTGGCTCAAGCCTGTAATCCCAGCACTTTGGGAGGCCCAGGCGGGCGGATCACGAGGTCAGGAGATCGAGACCATCCTGGCTAACACGGTGAAATGCCGTCTCTACTAAAAAATACAAAAAAACCAGCCAGGCGAGGTGGCGGACGCCTGTAGTCCCAGCTACTCGGGATGCTGAGACAGGAGAATGGCCTAAACCCGTGAGGCGGAGCTTGCAGTGAGCCGAGATCCGGCCACTGTACTCCAGCCTGGGCAACAGAGCGAGACTCTGTCTCAAAAAAAAATAATAATAATAATGTCTATTAATTTTTTTAAATTAGGTTGCAGCAGCCCCATATCAAGGTTTTGGTGGCATCCTGTTAGTGTTACTTAGTACCTGTGTGGTTAGTACTTGGCATTGAAGTGCACCAACCTGGAGTCAGAGCAGTTGGAGATTTCCAGGCCTGTGCCATTTACCTCGAATCCTAGGGTGCCCCGCAAAACAGCAGATCAGTTAGGGAGAAGCAGCCTCAGCAATCTAGACAGTGCAGGTTTGTGGTAAGGACAGGTACAAACCATCTGGGTGGGCAGACCTTGGTGAAGACTAGAAAACACTGAGACTCAGCAGCTGCCCCAGTGGAACCCACAAATCAAAGGAGGCGCTGCGAGGAGCTAAGGGCCACTGGATGAGCTCCCTGCCTGCAACACAGAAGCAGCTCCAGAGATTCTGGTAAATAACGTGGGTTTCAATACAGTGTGATCGACTCAAAACAGAAGGGAGAACAAAAAAGAAAAAAAAAGAGAGAGCATGAGAGAGAAAGAAAAAGAAAAGAAAAAAGGAAGAAAGGAAAGGGAGGGAGGGAAGGAGAAAGGAAGGGATAGAGGCAGGGAGGGCGGGAGGGAAAGAATAAAGAGAGAGAAAGAGAGTTGGAGGGACGTAGGGAGGTAAGGAAGGAAGGAAGGAAAGGAGGGAGGGAGGGAGGAAGAAAGGGAGGGAGGGAGGGAACAAATATACATGAAGATGAGAACATCGGGGGAACTTACACCACCAATATTTTCCATTAACAGGAACACGCTAACTAGTGATTAGAGAAAGACGCACTACTGTAAAATCATATACTGTTTCCATGGGGTACAACCCCTTCCTCCTCCTCTGAAACATTCTGTCTCTCGCCCACTGGTGCCAGAGACTCCAGAATCTACCTGGCTGCATTTGGGGGCCTCAGCCCCCGGGTCTGATGTCATCCATTTGCCTTTCTCACTGGACTTCTCTCCTTGCACTTGCTCCCACTCCCCCAGGACCTGGTGGGTGGCCACGTAAGAAGGACACAAACAAATCATGCCTCTTTCTTTCTCCCCTTCTCAATGCCTGCAGTAGTGGGTTCTGTGGGGTAGTGGCCTGAGATTTATTCATTATGGGGCCTCTAGCCCAGAGCAGGGCCTGCTACCTAACAGTCACCCCATGAAAGCTCAGGGAAAAAAGGCATCCACCACAAGGTCCTGGGGAACCAAGAATTCCACTGTGGCCCATAAATTCTAAGTCCTACAGGATTCTGGAATGGGAGATGGGACAGGCCTTCAAAAGTGGCCACTCTTTTAACCCATTATACTGTCAACTGAGCCATGTTTCCCCATCCTGGACACATCTAGAGGGCACCGCCTAAAACCAGACACATCTCCCCATCCAGGAGAGAGTAGGGGCCTGAGCCTGGGGGATGCAGGCGGACAGGGAGGGGATGAGCCAAGAAAGCTGAAGAGGAGAAAGCAGGTGAAAGGGGACAGCAGGGTGGAAACAGAGAGAAAAGGGGGCAGACAATGGGGGGTGAGAGGGGAAGAGTGAGGAGGGGGATGCAGATCTAGCTACTGAGGAAAAGTCCTGGAGAGAACACTGTCCTCTCCTGAAGTAAAATCACTTCCACCTGACCACGGCACGGCAGGTCGTGGGCAGCACACGCTGGGAATATTTGTTCATTCATTTAACAAATACTTATTTCATATCTGTTTCATGCCGGGCAAGGCCCTGCGATCTTTAGGGACCTTGGCATCTTCCCTTCACATCTGAGTCACAATAGAAAGAGGACTCTCTGACCCCATCCAGCCGGCAATGCCTCGGGATTTTTACCTGTTGGATCTGGCAGCTCTTCATGTCGGCCCACACCGTGTGAGGCTGCTCTTGGTGCACCGAATGGGGAAGTTTCTGCATCAGTGCCTCGGAGAGTCCACCGGAAGCCCTGGACAGTGGGAGTCGGTGGCACCCCAGCGTGGAGGCCAAGAGCACACAACACTGAAGCTCCAGACACCCTCAGGAAGACAGGAAGGGACAATCGGCTGGTGAGAGCCTGGATCACCAGGAACCTTCGCCTGGGTCGAAACAGGATTTGCCTTCAGATTGCCTGTGAGATAAAAGAGAGAAATCAAGGTTAACATTGAGATTTGGGGCTTCGGCAACTTGAAGGATGGAGCTGCCATTTACGGAGACTGGGAAGACCCAGGAAGAGCAGCTTGAAAGGTGGTGGGGAACTAGAGTTGGTTGGGTTTCTGTCATATGTAATCAACAGTCCTGACCAGACTAGGCAACATAGTAAGACCCGTCTCTGGAAATGAAAACTGAAAAATTAGACCAGCATGGTGGTGCACACTTGGAGTCTCAGCTACTCGGAAGGCTGAGGCAAGAGGATTCCTTCAGCCTTCAGTTAGAGGTTAGTGAGCTATGATGGCACCACTGCATTCCAGCCTGGGGGAAAAAAAATAGAGTCCTGACTAAATACTTGAGTAGCCAGGGAAGTTTTCACAAAGTAGGTAATATTTGAGGCACATCTTAGTGAACGAGAATTCGATTATTTCTGTTAGGGAATTAAGAGAGTGTGGGTGTAGTTAGTTAATGCTTACTGAACTATCTTTGGAATCTCATCTACTGCTCTATCTGGTCTATCTGTACACATATATTGTATATGCTGTCTCGCTGAGCTTTCGCTAGGTTACGCTACAGTAACAAAAGCCCCAAAATCTTAGCAGCTACACATACAAAGGTTTATTTTTCATTGACATTTCCTCTTATGGCAGGTTGACTGTGACTCTGCTCTATACAAGCTATTTTATTTGTTAGATGGTGAAAACTGTGATACTTGGAGATTGCTGAATATGGTATTACTATGTTCATTCATTCATTCATTTAACAAATATGGATTCAATATCTCTTTCATGCCAGGCAAGGTCAAGTATTGAGAAGACAGTGGTGAATAAATGAGACAAAATCTCTAATTTCCAGGAGCTAATATTGAAAATAACATTAAACACAATCATCATAACAACAATGAATATTCATAAATAACAGCTGTAAGACATTTTAGTAAATCTTTTAAATTAGAAAAATATAAAAATTATTACAACAAAAATGGCCCACGTGTGATGGCTGATGCCTGTAATCCCAACACTTCGGGATGCCAAGGTGGGAGGATCATTTGAGCCCAGGAATTGGTAACCAGTCGGGGTGCTACAGGAAAACCCTGTCTACAAAGAAATAGAAAATTAGCCGGGCATAGTGGTGCATTCCTGTAGACCCAGCCACTAAGGAGGCTGAGGTGGGAGGACTGCTTCAGCCTGAGAGGTCAAGGCTGTAGACAGCCAGGATCATAACACTGCACTCCAGCCCGGGTGACAGAGCGAGACACTGTCTCAAGAAAAAAAATATATATATATTCGATGTGTCCTCAAACTATTATGTAGAATACTATTATTTACATCACATCACGTGACCCCTTTCAATGGCTGAACACTTATTTCGGTGCAATCCATAAGCGTTCCTGGGAACTAAGTACACCTAAGAACAATTCAGTATGAAAGAGTTATTGCCTTGACAGGAAGATGCAAAAATTTTTAAAAGACAAATAAATAAATAAAAGAATGAAAACTGTAGCTCTGAGAGTCTCAAATTATATCTCATTCAACTCACAATGAACATCTAGCAATCATTCTGAACACCATATAATTCACTTAATACATTTTGCTCAAATGCCCAACACATCTGAATGACCAAAACCCGTATGTAGCCAAGAAACAGACAATCATTTTTAAATTATCACCTATGACTTCATCAGCTCTACGCACTTATTTTTTAAATGTTATTCATTTATTTACTCTTTTTATTTTTTGTAGAGATGGGATCTCACTGTTACCCAGATTGATCCAGAAACAGAAACAGACCCACACTAATTTCAGAAATCAGATGACAATACAGTCATTCGATTTATGAAAAAAAGTGCCACACGGTGCAGAAGGAAAAGGATGGTCTTTTCAATAAATGCTGCTGGATCAAGCAGACACATCCATGTAGTAAACAGTGATCATAGCCAAGTGGGGTGGCTCACACCTGTAACCCCAGCATTCTGGGAGGCTGAAGTGGGCAGATTACTTGAGCCCAAGATTTCAAACCAACCTGGGAAACATGTTGAACCCCATCTCTACAAAAAGTACGAAAATTAGCCAGGCATGGTGGCGCACGCCTACAGTGGCAGCTACTCAGGAGGCTGAGGTGGGAGGATCGCTTGAGCCAGGAAGTGGAGGTTGCAGTGAGCTGACATGTTGCCACCACACTGTAGCCTGGGCAATAGAGTGAGGCACTGTCTGAAAAAAAAAAAAAAATGCAAAAACTAAAAAAAAATTGTTATAAGGTTAACACACAAAAATGTGTTCATACTCTTAGGTTAGGCATTGATTTCTTAAACAGGACACAAAAAGTAGTAACCATCAAGGAAAAGATTGATAAAGTATAATTTCATTAAAATTAAGAATCTCAGGCCGGGTGCAGTGGCTCATGCCTATAATCCCAACACTTTGGGAGGCCGAGGCAGGTGTATCGCTTGAGCCTACGAATTCCAGACCAGCCTATGCAACGTGGCAAAACCCCATCTCTACTAAAACTACAGAAAAGAGCTGAGTGTGCTGGTGCTCCCCTGGAGGTCTCAGCTACTTCTGGGCTGAGGCAGGAACATCACCTAAGCCTTGGGAGGTCAAGCTTGCAGTGAGCTGTGATTGTGCCACTGTACTCCAGCCTGGGCAACAGAGTAAGAGCCCGTCTCAAAAACAAACAAAAAAAGAGAATCTCCATTCATGAAAAAACACCACTAAAAAAGTAAAAAGGCAAGCTACAGATTGAAAAAAGGGAAACGCAATACATATATATCCTAGAAAGGATGCATATCCAGAATAAAGTATTACAAATCAACAGAAAAATAAGCATATCAGTGAAAACCGAATAAAAAGATTTAACAGGCCCTTCACAAAACAGGACATATAAATGATAATAGAAGATACTCAGTCTCAATGAAACCACACTGATATGTTACTGCATCCCTACAAGAATGGCAAAATCATTTGTAACTGCCAGGCATCAGCAAGGACGTGGGGTAACAAGAATATCCCTGTTAAATGGTTCAACCATTTTGGGAAAATGTTCAACAATATGTAACACTAAAGTTTTATCATTTATATACATCTGAAACCAACAATGCCACTCCTACAAATAGACCCCAGTCTAGTCATGCTCTATTTCTTCATCTGTGGTGGCTCACTTGGTAAAAATTCATTCCCTTTTGGATTTTTGGTTTCTTTTTGTTTTTGTTTTTGAGACAGGGTCTCACTCTGCCATCCAGGTCGGAGTGCAATGCCATGATCATGGCTCACTGCAATCTCAGCCGGGCTCTGGTGATCCTCCCACCTCAGCCTACCGGGTAGCTGGGACTACAGGCACACACCACCACACACAGCTAACTTTGGTATTTTTAGTAGAGACAGGGTTTTGCCACATTGCCCAGGCTGGTCTGGAAATCCTGGACTCAAGTGATCTACCCACCCTGGCGTCCCAAAGTGCTGGGATTACAGGTGTGCTCTACTGCGCCCGGACCACCTGCACTTTTAAAATAGTCAACTTCTTCTGTATACTTCAGTACCTTTTCAAAGATTTCTTTGACACAAAGTTCTCAGAAATCTTAAAGCTAGCATTTCAGCATAGAGAAAAATAGCTTCCGGTTCACTGGTGAAGTTTTACTAATAAAATTTAAAAACAAAAAGAAAGGATGAACAACACTGTAACCCAAAGAAAAGATACCACTTGAGAAAAGACTTCTTTTCCAAAGCAGCTCCAGCAGCAACAGACAGGAGGAAAGCGAGGAAACCAGGCCAAACGTCCTGGTTAACTCTTCAGTGAAAGGAAGCCAAATGAGATGATCTAAGAAGCCAGACAGACAGACAGACAGACACAGGGAAATCACAGCAACTCTTTGCAGTGCGAACACCAACCCCACAATCCATCCTACTGGAAATCCTGCGGTTAATTTGAGGCTTGCCCCGCTAGTCATGAGGTGATTCGGTGATGGCCACAAACGCTCCTCATGTGCATCCTGGACCTGGCACACCTGGCTTGCCCATCGCCAGCCTGGAGGCACCGCCAGGAGCAGAATCCCGGAGGCCAATAAAGACTCCAACTTTGCAAGCAGAGGGAACTGATTTCTGGACTCGAAGGTGGGGTCCGGGGTCAGTGTCCTCTACAGGATATAGGAGGACGTGCCCCCGAAGCTGCTCCGTCCCTCCAGTGCCTGCCATGCCACAGAACACCCGCCAGCGACTTTCTTCCCCAGCGCGCACCAGAGGTGGGCTGCGGGCGGCAGCAGCAGGGGAACAATCGAGCTCAGGGAACTCAGGCCCCGGCCGTGCACCCCCCACACCCACCACCCCTCGCGCTACAAAACTTGCCACCGCCGCGCCTCAACCCAGCTGTGCGCCCGCGAGTCCCGGATTCACCGCCCGCCCAGCCGGGGCGTCCTCACCTCGGAAAGGCTGGGTGGACTTCGCGGTAACTTCCCATCCAGAGAGCAGCCGGCAGCCGCGCCGCCCCGCCTCGGCCCCACTCCTAGAGCAGCAGGTCGCCAGTCCCGCGTTCGAAAAGCGCCATGCTCACTCAGAAGCTCAGGCAGCCTCGCGACCCTCACCTACCCCTCCCAGTACCGCCGCGGTCTCAACCGCCAGCCAGCCCCGCGCCCGCGCCGGCCCACGACTGGCTCCTCAGAATCGCGTCAGAACCCAAGGCGCAGGCGCGGCGGGGTCTTAAAGGGACCGGGCCGCTTCTACTGCATAACGGTTCCAGCAGCTTAGGGGCCTCGCGGGCCGAGAAAAGGAGTAACGGAGGGGATGGACCCAGTGCAGCGGGGATGGGGAAATCCCTCTCTCCTCTCCGCCTCTCTTTCAAAGCACCAGCCCTCCACTCTGCAAATCGCTGATTTTCCCGGCCACTTGAACCGCCCCTGCCAGGTTAAAGAGGCAGGAGACACACGCCCTCGGGGCCCCAAGCGACCCGGCGCTTAGAACTGCAGGCCTCGCGCTGCCGCCCCGCCCCGGAGTCTGACTTCCAGGCCCGGGCACGCGGTGCAGACGCCCAGGCTTCAGAATGCAGCCCCCAGCTCCCCCGACAGGTCGCCTTAGGTCACTCGCAAAAAGAATAACCAACGTGTCAATGGCACTTGTAGTTATTTTCCAATTTAAATTTATAACAGATTCTGCAGATGGGCTTCCACTGAAATAAGCCTTTGAGAAAAAGAAAAACCTTTTTTTAAAACAAGAATTGGAAATACCAGGAAATAGTAAATAAAGCCATGCCGTCCACCCAACTAAACTTTGAAAATTTGGTGTTTTATCTAAGGCAAATGTTTCCATAACTTTAGGTCATGCCATTATTTAAAATCAATTTCAATTAACAATTTCATTGCAACTGAATCTATCGTGTATAAGCAAACAAAGATACATCCCTGATCATCTACCTCTCCCCTCCTATATTCCATCCATCAGCAAGTCCTACTGGTTTTTACCTTCCAAATTTTCCTTGAATGTGTCCTCTTCTGTCTCTTCTATCAGCACCCTAGTCTAGGCTACCTTCACCTGGGGAGTGGGGGTGGAGGAACTACTGACCTAGTCTTCTTGTGGTTTACCCATATCCCCTTTATGGCCTCTCTAATCTCGACACAACTGGCAGAGTGGTTTTTCAAAATATAATGTGACCCTGTCACTTCCCAGCCTAAACCACTTAAACGCCTTCCCATTCTCTTAGACGAAACCTCCTAGCTAACCAAGCCTTGAATGGCCTTTTCTAAAGGAGGAACAATATTTCTTGACACATGAAAATGACAGAAAATTCACATTCCAGTGTCCCTAAGCAAAGTGTGACTGGAACCCACACCCCTCTGTTCATGCGCTGTTTCGGGCTGCTTTCTCACTACCCCAGCAGAGCCAAGTAGCTGCAACAGAGACTGTGTGGCCGGTAAAGCCGGAAATATTTACCATTTGGGCTCTTTACAAAAAACAATTTGCCAACCTCTGACCTACTTCATGAAATCTGTACCTTTTGTTGTTCGCAGATTCCTTTGAGAACTGGACGAGGACACCAGCTCCTCTCCTTGGAGAAATATGAGCCTGAGCGTGCACACAAATGCACGCAGACTTTTGCACAGATTCAGGGATTCAAGGACTGCTCAAAGCCCATCCATTCACACGAAGGTTAGGTGAGAGGGAGAGTCAGAGTTGAAGGCCCTGGTTTTACACAGGGGGAAACGTGATTCCAGAAAGGGGGAGCTACTGGCCCTAGGACACACAGCAAGCCCCAGGACAAGGGGTGGCACAGGGAGAGTACCTGATGCTGGAGCTCCTGCAGCTGCTGCCGAGCCTCCAGCCATGAGCGCTCCAGCTCCTGCAGCCCAGTTCGCAGCTCCCTGGCCTCCTTGCCCATGGCTGTCCATGCCTCCTCTAGGAGTGCCAGCTTCTGCTCCTTGTCCTCACTGGCAAGCTTCAGGCTGGAGAGGGCAGAGGTCAGCCCTGGGTCCTGGGAGTAGTCAGTGGCTCTACACAAAAGCTGCCTCCTCCAGTAGAGGGTCAGGCACTGCCTGCCTGTGCAGCCTCTCCCAAGAACTGAGCCCTCCGGGGCTGGGGCCCAGGCTCTCGGCTGGGAGGGGTAGACCAGTGACTCCAGGAGGGGACCTGGTTTCCAGGGTGATGAGGCGGGTGGGTCTGAGTCTGGACCCAACCCTGCCCGCTACCCCTCTGCCCCTTTCCCCAATCAACAGGGAGGAAACCTTCCTAAAATGAGCCAGTTGCCAGGCTCTGCTTAGGAGACAGAGGATCCGTATCTGGGCAATTTCGCCAGAACCTTGGGGTTGAAGTTAGATTTCAGGGATGGGATTCCATGAGGACTCAGGGCTGGTCCCCCCACGACACCCCACCTGATGTGCTCACTCTGCCTTTTTCACAGCGGCCCGAAGTTTCTCCTTGGAGCTCCACAGGGCCTCGCTCTCCTTGGCGCCGTCGCCCAGACTGCCCTGCAGCTTGCCTGACTCCTGGCGCTGCACCTCCCGCCCTCCTGGCTCTCATGCAGCTCTATGCGGATGGTCCCAGCTCAATCTCAATACCTTCCACTATCCTGTCCCTATTTCTATGGGTGGGGAAATGAAGGCACAGACACCTGGGGTAGCATCACCAGTAAGTGACCAAGATTAGATTCTAACCCAGGAAATATAACCCCAGAGTCAGTGTTCTAGTAACGCACGCGCACAACAAGTAATTGTGTGTGGCTCTGCTTCCACCAGCCCCAACCCCGAAACACCAGAGAGCTGAGTGTTATTAGATTGATGGGGAGTTTGTTGGAGTTTTACATAAGTTTCTGATGCGCTGCAGACTTTTGAGCAGCACTCACAGTTCCCTCCAGTTCAGCATGGGAGGCTGGCTCCGGCCTGGTTTCCACCTCCTGGAGTTCATAAAGCCTAATTCCTCCCACCCAGCCTGGAGGTGGCATTCCTGTCTGATGGATGGGCAGCTCCAGGGAAGATGGGGAGCGTATGGCTGAAGGAGAAGGGCTGTCTGTGTGTGTGGAGAAGAATTTGGGAGGGCCCAGGCCAGCAGCCTCTGACTGTAGGAGCCACCTTGAAAGGCATCTTTTCCCTTGGGAGCACCCCTTGGCTCATCTGTGGCTCACACAATCTCTCGAAACTTTTACTGCGGCCCAGTGGGGTTGGGGCTGCTCCCCGGCCTTGTGGATGGGGACCTTTGTCCAGCAAAGGGGCCCTAATTTTCCAGTGGAATCGGACAAGAGGAATGCCTTCTAGTGACCTAAGAAGAAGCAGACAGAAGGCTCAGAAAGGCCAGGAAGGCAACTCCTCCTCCTGACTGAAGACTTGTTTTGAGCAGGAACTCCCCTCTAAAGGTGAACACTGAGGGATGGGAGGAGCTCCAGAAGCACCTGGACCCTGGTCACCCTTTCAAGGCAAAAGTCCGTAGGACCCTTATTTGAAGGCATTGACTAAGCTCCAGAAAGGAGGTTCCAGGCCACTTCCTCCAGCCCTGGAGTGCACTCAGCCATGGCAGCTTGTGCAGGACAAAGATGAGCCCCCTGGAGTGACTCCGCCTCCCTGGAAATGGAACCAGCTGACAGCCTCAGCCCCTTGGACAGGGTGCCCAGGGGTGGAGCAGCTGAGCCGGGCCCCCTGAGCTGGCTGGAAGTGCCGGTCTTAGGGCACAGGCTGCTAGATTCTTGCTGCTCCTTTATAGAAGGGGTACTGGGGTGCAGACAGGGTGGGGCATTGGCCCAGGGCCCCATAGAGGGGCAGCCGTGAAGCCAGGATGAGTACCCGCCTCCTGACTCACCAGCCCTGACTCTTTCTATTTCATCTGACTCTGCAGAGCTGCACACGGTGGTCTCTGCAGGCACTTAGTTGTACAGGAACAGCTCCTCCCTCAGACTCAGAGTGAGGACAATGTGCTCTTTATCTGGGGGAGGTGAGGGTTAGTGTGTGAAAAGAAGCAAACTAACTCTAATCAATATCTCTGTACTTGGACAGAAACCAAAGTTTACAAGAAACCATGAACTTGGGGTAAAGTAGGAAATTATAATTGTTTGCAGGCTGCATGCTTGCTTTTCTATGTCATCTAAGAGAACCAAGGAAAATCATGTTTCTTATGTACATATCCAAAAACGGTGTTTCCACCCTGAGAACGCACCTCCTCTACCTCCAACGTCAGAGAGCACCTGGACCAGGCACCCGGCATAGCCCTCTGACATCATAACCCAGTTTTTGACAAAGAAACACATCCTGGAGCTCCTCCCAACAATGACTGTGCACAGTGAAGATGCTAATGCGTGGCTGCTGCTGGACACGTGGGGGATTCCTGATGGACAGCTATGCTCTGGGAAGAACCAATGGCCTTGATGGACTTAGCTTGAACCACAGGGTTGTTAGGAATCTCCATCAGACCCCCACCCTTCTCCAGCACTTGTGGTGAGATTGGCATAGCGGACTGACATTGTCTGCAGCCTCACCCGGCCTCCTGCGCACTTTTCTGCCTCTTGCCTCTCCCCTAGACTCCGCCACCTGCACCTCACACTAGACACCTACAAACATAAGGACATTTTGGTAAGAAACTGCCACACATCATCACTGTTTTTTACTCACATCCACTCATGCTCAATATCTCTAGTTCTCCATTATTTGCCTTTTAAAATAGCAACAAGAAAACCCAGTTCAGCCCTAACTCTATGGTGAGCCATGTGTGTTCAGAGCTGATCATCAAATCAAAACTACTGGTAATTCTGGACTGGGGCTCTTCTCCCAGAGTTGTCAGGTCAGGGCTCTCCTGGTTTTCATTAGGAGAGGGAGGACCCTATTATCATGTCCCCTCATCTGTAGCAAACTTTGAGGTGGGATGCCTGAGGAGAGAGCAGAGCCCAGGGCAGATGTGAGACCCTTGGAGGAGTTTAGTGTTGATGGCAGCATTTGGAAAATATAATATTTTGTTATGTGATTTTCTCATTAAAATTACTAAGCAATTAGTGTTTTCTTTCTCTTTTACATATTTGAAAAAATAGAACTATAACTACATTTGCCAAACTTTAAGAGATATGAAGGGAGGAATAGAAAACAATGAAAAAATGAGGAGATTTCAACACCTCACCTTCAATAATGTATAGAACACTCACAGAAAGATTCTCAGGAAGCCCGTGGACTGAAGCACTGTTGAACAAACG